TCAAGATCATCTTCAAAGCCCTCCATGGTCTTGCTCTCCCCTACCTCTGCGATCTCCTGACCCCACCTACCAACCTGCCCGATCCCTCCCCTCAGAGGGCTCCGACTTGCTTCATGTACCCCGCCTTGCCCGCCCCACCGTTGGTGGGGGGCCTTCTGCCACACTGCTCACACCCACTGGAACTCCACCTCGCAGTCCCTCCGACTCACCCCCCCCTCTTGCCTCCTTCAAGATCCTCCATTTTGACTGTGACTTCAGTCACCCTCCGTCCCCCCCTAACCTCCACCCTCCACGATCCCGAACCCCAGCTCGGATATGAAACACTGATTGTCCAACACCTTGGGACGTCCTCCCGACATGAAAGGTGCTATACAAATTTGTTGTTGTTGTATTAGATGCACTATTAAGCTAAGGCTGCTATTTTTCAAAATACTACTACTATATGTAAAAAAAACAAATTTCATTAAATAGCCCTCGAGTGACTTGATAAATGAATGCCAAACGGCATTTAATGTCAATAAAAAGTTGATTAACTTTGGTGCCAAAAGCAGTTAAAAAGAATCAATACAAATCTTTAGTTTATTTTGAAGTCTCATGAACACTTTTCCAGCATTGATATTACTGGTGTCAGCCCACACTGTTGCCTCTGAGTCAGAGGGTTGTGGGTTGAAGACCAATGTCAGAACTTTCAGCTCATAGTCCATAAATCAGTCCTTCTCCTCAGGCTCAGTCCCACCCCCCTCAAAACAGCTGTCCTCACTCCCCTCCTTAAAAAACTTACTCAACCTCATGCAATACCGCCCCATTTCAAACCTGCTCTTCCTGGCGAAGGCCCTGGAACGCGTTGCTGCAAACCATCATCGCTCACACCCCACCCTCCACTCCTTACTCAAACCCCTCCAGTCCGGTTTCCGCCCAGTACAGACACGCTCGTCAAAGTAACATATGACCAAGACCAAGAGTCCCACTGCCTCTCATTCTCCTGGACCTCTCCACTGCGTTCGACACAGTTGACCACGCCATCCTCCTCCACCGATTCTCCTCCCTCATTGACTTTAGTGGGACCGCTCTCACATAGTTCGATTCCTATTTAACCAACCGCCAGCACTTTATCTTGGCCAATGGTTTATCCTCTCGCCCCCGCCCGGTCATCTGCAGGGTACCCAAGGTTCCATTGGCCCCCTTCTTTTCCTTATCTTCCTGCTCCCTCTGGTGAAGTCATCCACAGGCATGGGGTCAACTTCCACATGTATGCGGATGACACTCAAATCTACTTCACGTCCTTTAGCTGTAGCTCCCAGTCTGCTGATGTCCTGCCAACTTGTTTGATGGACATTAAGGCCTTATGAGTGCAAATTTCCTGCAGCTGAATGTCGGCAAGATGGAAGCCATACTCTTTGGTTCCCATTAACCTCTTCGCTCCTGTGGGTCTGAACTCCTCAACCTCCCTGGGCTCTCACTTAGACTCTAAACCCTTAGGCATCAGGCTCGATCCCCAGCTTTTCTTTCTACCACATATCAATTCCCTGACCAGGACCACTTTTTTCCACCTCTCACCCACCTCGGTCCATGCCTCACAAACGACGCAGCTGAAACTCTGGTCCACGCCTTTGTCACTTCCTGGCTGGATTATTCCAATACCCTCCTCGCTGGTCTCCCCAGCTCCACCATACACAAAATCCAATGAATTAAAAACTCCGCCACCCAGATACTCACCTGTACGAAACTCCGTACCCCCATCACACCAGTCCTTGCCAGGCTCCACTGGCTCCCAATCACTGAACGGATTGACTTCAAGATCCTCTCACTTGTTTTCAAATCCCTTCATGCCTTCGCAGCTCCATACCTATAATCCTCCAACCTACTTATCCTCCATTCCATCACCCGCTGCCTCTGTTCAGCTGGCTGCGGCATCCTCTTTACCCCTCGTGCACTCCGTTCCACCATTGGTGGGCACGCCTTCAGCCACTACCCCCAAAACTCTGGAACTCTCTCCCTTGGTCCCTCTGCCTTGCCCCCTCCATCCCCATCTTCAAGTCCTGCATAAAGACATTCCTATTTTATTGTGGTTACGGTCACCTCCCCCCTCCCTCTCCCCTGGCTCGTTATCAGACTCCGTCGCTGTGAAGGACGGGAAAGAGCCATAGCAATATGGGGATACTCCGAGGGAGGTTTGGAAATGAGGGCCACCCACTACTGCGTCTGTTAGGGTTATGTTATGTTACAGTATGGTGGAATATGCAACCAGATGTGGAGGCAGTTTTCCGCAAGCCCACAGAGATCAATGCATTCATCCAGGATGAGGTTGTGGATAGTGAGAGCTTTGTTTGACAAGGAGTGGACATTTTGGAGGGCAATGTGAAAAGGTGGGGGAGGGGGCAGGGAGAAGGGGTTTGGGGGTTTGTGGAAGGAGGATATCTGTGGAGTTTGGGGGAGGAAGAGAGTTGGGAAGGTGTGGATGAGGGAGGGGTTGGGGAAGTTACAACAACAGGTATCATGAATGTACTATGTGCCCTTGAGTTGTTTACAAGAGGATTAGCCACTGACGTCTTTAATGCTAATTTTTCAAGAAATAATCTTTCCTAATACCAGACATAGAAACTGACTAAACATAGGATAGCAAACCATATAAAAATATATATTACAATATATTACAATGTAAGTAGCATATACTTCGATCGATATGACCTCCCGTCTGCTTGATTAGATCACTGGGAATTTCTGTGACTTTTACAACTTATGTTTAATTATACAATAAAGGGTATATCATTAAAGATGACGTGAGAGAAATTCTTGCCTGAATACTATTATACTGTGAAGCAATGATTTTAAGCTGCAATGTTAACACACCATAGGTTGTGTATCGTGTAAAGTAACACTGGTTGTTAACAGAAATCTTTGAATCTTTGCTAGAACCGCAAGAGAGCAGTAAATCCAGGTTTGGTTGTTGTACCTAAAAAACGTAAGCACTGGAAATGGTCTGAAGAACAATAAGGGCAACTTAGTTACTTAGTGAAGCTCAACTGTTCTTTTTATCAGAGAAAGGCGGGTGACAGGAATATTATTCACGTGTTTAAATAAGAGTGGGTGAAGAAAATTAGTGTGCAACAAATGAATAAACAGAGTAGGAGAACTAAACAACTCTTTGAAAGTAAATAGCAGAAATACTGGACATTTCAGTCTACCTTCCCTTCACCCATCTTTGTGCAGAGTTGGGTGACAGGAATGATGATGAGCTCATCACCTCCTTATTTCTTACAAATTGACTGGGAAACTAGGTCAGGCAGCAGGTGGGTGGGAACGCACAGCTTCAATCTGTTCAGCCAGCCCAATACAAAAGAGCTGCCTTGATGAGGCAATAGAAATTATATTTAAATTGAAAATGTGTTTCAATTATTTAGTCGCAGACTTTAACAAGTAGCTTTTTACACTTGAAGCACAGATGTATGCACAACCCAAGTGGAGTGAATGCTAAGTCAGCCATTCATAATAAAATGGACATATTGCAGTTGAACAAATAAATAAAGTCAAGTCTCTGAAGTAGTGAAGTAGAAGGTAAAAAAACAGTTCCAATCAGGTCCAAGAGCACAGGTCTCAATATATATATGGAAACTTTAATAAACACGGAGGGGGGAAGAGTTTTGTAAAATAAAATTTCCTTAAGTTACTGGCTGGTGGGGGGAGCGAGGGAGGTGGGGGGGCGCCAGCGGGCGGGGGGTGGGCGCCAGCGGGCGTGGGGTGGGCGCCAGCGGGCGGGGGTGGGCGCCAGCGGGCGGGGGTGGGCGCCAGCGGGCGGGGGGTGGGCGCCAGCGGGCGGGGGGTGTGCGCCAGCGGGCGGGGGGTGGGCGCCAGCGGGCGGGGTGGGTAGTATCCACCAAAGACCTACCTTAATCATTGGCCTGTATTTTTCTTTTCAATGCCTCCAACTGCAAATAAATAACTGTAGCGCCCCCTTATAATATAATAATACTTTCATTTGATATAGCACCTTATCAAAGCGCTACACGGAATATACTGTAAATTGACTATATTTTCTGGGTGAAATGTGGCAGCCAATTGTGTTCAGCAGTGTCCCACAAACAGTAGTGAATTGGGTGACCAAATTACCTATTTATTACTATTTTAAGGGATTATTACCCCCAGAAAGCGATCCGTCAATCGACTAACAACTGGGTTCGTACTTACTTCTTGGTGAACAGAGGCGTGCGGAGAAAGGAAACTTGCCTAAGGTTTCACCCTGCCCGGAAATCTGACCCGGGTCCTCTCGCTTACGAGGCAAGTCCTCTAACCAATACGCTAAGGACTTTACAATAGCCCTTATCCATTCAACAATACACATTCAACGAATCCGTTCTGCAGTCTCCACTTCAGTCACAATTAAAAACTGCCCAACCCAAATAATAAATAACTACAATACCAGTTCACGTCAGAGAGTTGTGTTTAGTATTCACTCTGCTCTTTTTTATTACAGCTTTTCTACACTCCTCATATCATACAAGAATTAATGACCAATTAACAATAGTACTTAACGTACTCCAGGGGCAGGAAAAAAACTCGTCTTAGAAACCCTAAACCCAAACAATGACAAGTCAGTTTCTGACTCAAACCAGTTTGATTCTGAGTCAAATAGTTGATCAATTGGCACTACAGAAATAACCTCCTTAACTGAGCATCACTGGGGACAGTGTCCGTGCTGAAGGTACCGTAAGACAAACTCAAGAACACTTGTGTTACACACCAATAGTTAAATAATCTTACAAATATTTCATACTAGAGCTCAAAACAAAACCAAACACAGCCCACACACAGCAGCTGGTCTGAATTATATAGTAAGCCATTTTCCACAATCTCAATTTTGAATCTTGACCCAAGGTGTATGGTTTCCACTCATGCATCAACGAGATTGATTGAACTACAATTCAGCCTTTCATCACAAACAGAAAAGCAAGATATCCTTGGGAAACATTGGAACAATTCACTCCTTCAAATCTCAAACTCACATTTGGATCCAGATTTGACCAATGTTTGCAGTTGAACTTTCCCCGAGGGTGAGTTTCAGTGTCAGCTGCAGGCCATTTGTGAGAAAGAAAAAATAATGATAATTTTCATACATAATAACAACTTGCACTTATATACTTATCTATTTATGTTCACGAAGGATAAACATTACAAAGCACTTCATAACAATGGAATTACTCAGCAGGGAGGAGAGGAGGGTGAATACTGTATGAGGTGGCTGAGCAAAGGCATGGTCAAAGAGATAATACTCATATACTTTTAAGGTTTTGAAAGCACTGTAAGAAGGCATAAATTAAGGATTTGGGCGAAGAATGTCAGAAAGTGGAGCATAAAGGCTCCTTGGAAGCTTCAATACAGACACTATCTTCCTTGGCTCCAATGTGACATGTTTGGCAACAGAATGTGAGAATTGAGCCAACTTTCTGTGGTGGACTCAGTAGTCCGGTTCCTGAGCCAGGCAGGTGCGCAATACTCCAGGTCACTGCTGATGACAGCCTACCTGTGAATCAGGGCACTGCTGATTTCAGTCCAGCCAGTCTGGCTCATTGGCAGGACTTGGAAGGGCAGACCAGTCATTGGGGACAGGGACTCTTCCCACTCAGCTGCCATTAACCCTGCAAGCCAAAGCCCCAAAGCATAGGGTGGCTCTAGCTGCACAAGCATTAGGAACTTTCAATGGCAAGCTATGCGGTTTCAGCTGGTTATATTGCAGTACCGCAATATTTTCTCTGGGGTCCCTGAGCCTTAACTCTTGCCAATTTGCAGGCTAACCCTTTCCAGAATTAGGTAAATAGGATGCATTCCTCCATCCTGGAATTTCAATGTATAGGTGGGATACACGGAACTCTCTTTGGTTTGGATACTCATTACATATGGTGATGAGTTTGGTTTCCACATGTGTCAGACACCTCACTGACAAAAAATAGTCAATATAGAAACATGAGGGTTGAATCATCTGCCCTCCCAAGGAGAAAGGGAAAGAACCTGCAGCAGCAGTTGTAGAGCATTTTTTTGTAATAAAAGAGACACTTATATGTTTCACTCCTAATTACAGACCAAGAAGTTTAAAGATCAGTATAATTGCAGCAGATTTAAACAGTCAATGTCTCACAAATGTGTTGTGCAGTACAACACAAAATAACTACCTGGCTAAGTTAATAGATTGCAAAGCAGTATTAAGGCTTTGGATTCAGAATCAATTGAGGTGCTTCATAAAAGTTAAATAATTGGGAAGCAAAGAATTAAGGAATATTAAGAAAAAGCAAGGAAATTGATTAAAAACAGAGTTCCCATGGACTAAAATGGTGTTAACAATCTCAACTGACCAAATGGCCTACTGCTATTCTTATGTTTCTTTTAGGACAGAACAAGCAACAGATTCATTGCATTTGAGTCCCTCTATCTTGCTCTTTCTCGCCTTTCTTTCAAAACCCTTTTAAAAATATATTTCATTGAACATGTCTTTGAATAAGACACTTAAATTCTTATTTTCCACTCCCTATTGCTCTCTGAGAATCTTTGAGATGTTGATCCCATGTAAAAAGTGCTATACAAATGAAAGTTGTTTTTTTGTTGATGAATTGTTGGAATAGTTTTTTGGGTGTTAGCTTTCAACATTTTCTCCTTTCACCGTTCTCCCTATTTAGGTGGTATAATATTGCAGACTGCCTAACTCCTGAGTTATTTGACCTGTTACAAGTGTTCAAGGACAACCAAAACAACATGCAAAATGCTTACATTTACAGCATCTTTTGTTAAGACACGAATGCCACCACAGGGATAAGCAGTGTGCTGCTCTCCAGGAAGCAGAATTTAAGTGTTTAATCAGAGGCATATTCAATAGATTTCTAATAGGGTTTTGAAATTACTGCTATTTCAAAGCAACTGTTGCCAATTTTTTTTTGTCAATTGGCTGTCTAACTAAATCACCATGCTTAAGACTTATCCAAACCAGTCTTAAGAGTTCCACGTATGTATGTCACCATGGAAGTGTCTTTGATAAAGAATCAGAATCCAAAGATGAGAGGAGGCTAACACATTGTAATAATTGTCATCAATCACTCAGCAAATCTGATGAAATTTGTCAAAATAGGTGTTCCCTGTTTTCAATTCATCCAGCTGGAGAACAAGATAAAGGTAAAAACAGGTCCTGTAGCTCAGTAGTGAGAGCACTCACCTCACAAGTGAGAGACCTGAGTTCGATTCTCGGCAAGGCGAAATGTTGGGCAAGTTTCCATACTCCACACGGCTCTGTTTACCTAGCAGTAAATAGGAACCCAGTTTTTAGTCGATTGATAAATCTCTTTTCCGGGGGTAATAATTCCTTTAAAAAAAATTAAAAATAATAAATAGGTCACTTCAAATGACTGTTTGTGGGACATTGCTGTGCACAATTGGCTGCCGCATTTCGCCCACAACATATACTGTCAATTCACTTTACAGTACATTCTGTGAAGCGCTTTGAGACATCTCGAAGACTTGGTAAGGCGCTATATCAAATGCAAGGATTATTATTAAATTAGGTTATCTCTATCTGGGTAAATCTTTTTCTTGCTACCTCTGATTGCCTTTGTAGTAGCTGCTGACGGCAAATTTGGCCTAACAATGGGCGTACACTAAGCTGTGCAAGCACAAGTCTGACATTTAAAGCAAACTTTCAATTCTGTAAGGGCAGCATACAGTAAAGCATTATTTTTGCTCGCTATGTACTGTTTCAGAGCACAACAAAGCACAGCCTCAGAGCTTAGCCTTGAGACACACCCAAAATTGGTTTCAGATAGAATGTTAAACCACAAACTCCATTATGTATTGAGACATCTGTGGCAGTTTTTGTTTTCATTTTCTCTATTTTGAGAACTAGGTTTTGTTTTGTTGGATATGTCAGCTCAGTGAATTGCTTATTGCGTGCCGTCTAATAAATTATTGAAATTATATTAAAATATAAATAACCAGTCATTGATGAGCAAAGCAAAGGCATAAGATATGAGAAGCTAAGGAGTGACTGACCGTATGTTGGCACAGTAGGGGAACACAGCTTGCTATAACATCATTACTTTTTAAAGACGTCGAGTGAGCTACAATGGAACCTTCATCGTCTACCCTTCGTCCCACCACCGTGAATAATTGAAATTGGAAGATAATTGAGGTTGCACAATACTGAATTTGTTATTTACCAAAAGAAATACAAGAAGGAATTTTTTTTTAATATTGCCTTACCACATTGCTGTCAAGTGTAGTAACTGGTTTTGGTGGTAGGGCCATTTTGTGTAAGTGACCACAAACAGGTATGAGGTGATGACTGATTTAACTGAAGCAAGCTGGCCAGGTCACTGGGAGAAACTTCTTCTAATTTTGAACAGATCTCAACACCTATCTGAAGAATAGGTGGACAGTTTAGTGTTTCATCTAAAGGGTAGCACCTCTGCCATTGCAGCACACTGGAGTGTCAGCAGAGACTTTGAGCTCAAGCCCCAGCATTTGCCCAGTTGCCGCTAGGTGCAACACCAGGCAATGCAAACTATTATAGGTCTGAATCCCAGTAATTTCTTAGTTAGCTGATCTCAGCCTTTTTTGCTTCTAATATCCCTGCTCCTCCTGCTGGACTGCTGGAAGGTGCATGTATGTGAATGTCAGACGAGGGCAAGACTGAGGATTGGGCTCAGCTATGATACCCCAGGTGATTAAATAGGCTGCCAACATTCACAGTCAAGACTCACACATGAATAATTATTTAGGCGAAGTAATTGAAGGTGCCTGGCTACCATATCCCAATGAAGAGTAGCATAATAATCCTTATTTTAACACAGCATTCTTATCCTCTTGTCAAAATATCTCAAAGTGCTTCATAAGTTTTATTGTAAAGTGTAATGACTGCATTTGTAGGTGAATACAGCAGCCAATTTACACACAACAATATCCCAATATTCTACCTCTTGTATTTGCAACTGACATTTTTGTTTGGTACAGTACCTTTCATGTGTGGAGGATGTCTCAAAGTGCTTCACATGATTTTACTGAAAATTTATATTTTGTGTATTTGTAGTCAAACAATCCAGCTCATTTGTGCACAGCAATATGCCACAAACAACATTAAAGTGAATGATAAATTACAGCAGGGGGAAGTAAAATCAAGCCTGAGTAGTCTCTGATAACTCCGAACAGCCATGTATAAAGGGTTGAAGTGCCTCCCAGCTACTCAATGCACTGTTGGCTGAAGGAGTGCTGCGTTATTGTAGGTACTATTCTCTGGATGAGACATCAAACTGAGCTGAAGAACATAGAATTTTCCTGGTGTTTTCACCAATGATCGTTCCTCACTCAAATTTATCAAAATATAGCCATTCATTTTATTGCTATTTGAAAGCTGTTGCTGGACTAGAATATGTGCTGGGTTTGCCTTTATAATAAGTCTTCAGAGTAACTTATTATGTGAAGCGCTGTATCAAATGCAAGAAGGATTCAACTTGGCTCAATTGATAGCACCTACTCAGCTGGATCAAGTGGTTGTGGGTTTGAGCCCCATGTCAGGGCTTTGAGTTCACAGTCCAGGGTGATATCCCAGTGCAGTCCTGAGGGAGCCCTGCATCGTCTTAGGTGCTGTCCTCCAAATGAGGTGCTGTCTGCATGTTCGGGTTGATGCTGAAGATCCCAAGGCACGATTTGAAACAAGAAAGGTCCTGCCCAATAATTTTCTTGATAAATTACTCATTCACTTTCTGGCTTGTAACTAATTGCTGTGTGCAAACCCTACAAAAGACAGTCTGCACTTTGGAGCATTAACCTTTGAAGCGCTTTGAGATGTTTCAACTTTTATAGGAACTATATAGAATGCAAGGATTATTATTATTATTATTATAATAAGTAACAGGCAGTTGCAGGAAATGGGGGGGGTAAACATAAAAATACAAGGGAAATGCACCTGAAAATCTCCTGTTTCTCTCTGTTAAGTGGATAAGGTTGCAGCATCGCCCACATTAAAAACATTTTTAACAAATACATTCACCATTTGCTTCTACATAGGCACAATTTGATTCCTGGAGTTCAGATGTAAATACCTTATCGTGTTTGCTTGTGAATCAATGAGTTATGGTGTAAAAAAGGCACCGACTGCTTTAACTTAATACTGTAGTAAAACGTCAAAAGATATCAGCTGCAACAACAATCTCAAACATTATCATTATTATTTATAATTATTAATAATAATTCTTATTGCCGCTCGATAATAAACCAATTCACAGTTGATCGTCCCGCCCCTGCACACAGTTTGTGGAGGGAGAAAGAGTGCTGTGGCAAGTGACGAGCTCACAACAACCGAGAGTGAGACCCTAACCCCCACCCTAATGACCCTCACCACCTGCCGAATTTCGCCCACAAAATACAGTCAATTAAACTTTACAGTATATTCTGTGAAGCACTTTGAGACTCTCGAAGTCGTGATAAGGCGCTATATTAAATGCAAGGATTATTATTATTATCAAACTCCTCACCGACTCCCTCCACCGCCCTCCCTACTGCCTCACGCCCCCCCCCCCCCCGCCAACCCGATCAATGTATCAGCCCCACACACCCACTGAGCCCCCCCACCACTAACCCCACCGACCCATCACCCCCACTGACCTCCCACCGCTAACCCCACTGACCCATCATTCCCCCGCCATCTCCCCCTCCCCCGCCATCTCCCCCTCCCCCCGCCATCTCGCCCTCCCCCGCCATCTCCCCCTCCCCCACCCCCCCGCCATCTCCCCCTCCCCCACCCCCCGCCATCTCGCCCTCCCCCACCCCCCCGCCATCTCGCCCTCCCCCCGCCATCTCGCCCTCCCCACCATCTCCCCCTCCCCCACCCCCCGCCATCTCGCCCTCCACCGTCATCTCCCCCTCCCCCACCCCCCCGCCATCTCGCCCTCCCCACCCCCCCCACCATCTCGCCCTCCCCGCCATCTCGCCCGCCCCGCCATCTCCCCCTCCCCCACCATCTCACCCTCCCCCGCCATCTCGCACTCCCCCGCCGTCTCGCCCTCCCCCACCCTCCCACCATCTCGCCCTCCCCTAACCCCCCGCCATCTCGCCCTCCCCCACCCCCTGCCATCTCGCCCTCCCCAATCCCCCGCCATCTCGCCCTCCCCAATCCCCCGCCATCTCGCCCTCCCCCAACCCCACCCGCCATCTCGCCCTCCACCACTCCCCCCGCCATCTCGCCCTCCCCCAACCCCCCGCCATCTCGCCCTCCCCCAACCCCCCGCCATCTCACCCTCCCCAAACCCCCAGCCATCTCGCCCTCCCCCAACCCCCCGCCATCTCGCCCTCCCCCAACCCCCCGCCATCTCACCCTCCCCCAACCCCCAGCCATCTCGCCCTCCCCCACCCCTCCCACCATCTCGCCCTCCCCCAACCCCCCGCCATCTCGCCCTCCCCCAACCCCCCGCCATCTCGCCCTCCCCCAACCCCCCGCCATCTCGCCCTCCCCCAACCCCCCGCTATCTCGCCCTCCCCAACCCCCCGCCATCTCACCCTCCCCAACCCCCAGCCATCTCGCCCTCCCCCAACCCCCCGCCATCTCGCCCTCCCCCAACCCCCCGCCATCTCGCCCTCCCCCAACCCCCCGCCATCTCGCCCTCCCCCAACCCCCCGCCATCTCGCCCTCCCCCAACCCCCCGCCATCTCGCCCTCCCCCAACCCCCCGCTATCTCGCCCTCCCCCAACCCCCCGCCATCTCGCCCTCCCCCATCACCCCCCCCCGCCATCTCCCCCCCAACCCCCCCCCCCCGCTATCTCCCCATCTCCTACCCCCGCCATCTCTCCCCCCCGCCATCTCTCCCCACAACCCCCCCCCCCCGCCATCTCCCCCCCCACCCCCCCCCCACGGCCATTCACCCTGGCCGAGCCCTCCCCCCCACCCCATCTCCCCCTCACTCCCCGAAGCGCTCTCCCCCCGGCGGTCTCCCCCACAGACCATCAGCGGCCTCTCTCGGCGCCGCGCACCCACCTCCTCCTCCACTCCAGATGACAGAGTCCCGCCAGCAGCAGCCGCGGCGCCGCTGCCTCTCCTCCTCCCGCCGCCGCCGCCGCCTTCCTCTTCGCCGTCGCCGACCCCCGCGGCCCCGTCAACGCACAGTCCTCGGCCGCAGCGCTGTTACCCGACCAACCGCCCATGACAACCGGCCACGCCTCCCCCGGCGGCGCCCCGTCACTGCAGGCACAGGGCGG